AATAATTCCGTATACATTAATTTTTTAAAAAATTATAAAAAAATAAATCATTATAAAACATACAGAATTTTGATATATAATCATTAATTACGTATACAAATCTTAAAAAAAATGTATCATTTCCTTATTTCGATTTCTTATAGGAGTTGGATTACCTTACCAATATTTTTCAAAAAATTTCATATATCAATATTTTTTAAAAATGTTTAATAAGATCCGGTCTTTTTTAGAAATTATTAAAGAAATTTGATAATGATTAATAAATATTGATTATAATGTTTGGATAATAATCGATAAATTTCAGTCTATACTGATTATTTTTTATTTAATAATTACTGATAAATGGATTATTTATCTAAGGAATATTATTATACAGGTGCTATCTATTTATTATCTGAAGTTTTTGAGGAAATTCGTAATTCCTGTAAAAAAATCAAAAATGCTGTAACAGTTATAGCAAAAAAAATATACTTATACTCGACGAATTTATAAGATTTGGCGTAAACGTGCAATGGGGCAACCTGATCGTTTCTAACAATGTGAGCCAGAAAATCAGAGTCCAAGCAATCCTAATATTACTCCTTTACCTCAGGATAATATATTAAAAGAGGTTTCAGTAGAATGCAATGTTATTTCTGGAAATCAGGCAAAAAAGATCAGAGAAAAGAAATGATCCCAAGGGGATCAAACAACACCTAGAACAAAAAAAGAAATTATTTCGCCTACTGAATCCTTTGAAGATATCTTGGATTGGTATAAGAGAATTGATAATACTTTAGAAGAAAAAAATAAAACATCTGATCGTTCTCTTATTTCCAAATAGTTATTCGTCTTATTCAATCTAGCTGCGCAAACTATTATAGTATTCTATGATTTTCAAATTTGATTGAATGCTAGAAAATAATGCCTTTTCGAGCTCTTTTATATAAATTGCCATATTCTCATAGTTCATGCAGTTTATGCACTTTTTTAAGTCTTTTTCACTAGTTGGATTAGAAGAATTAGCTAAAACCTGAGAGATAATAGATGCTTTACATGATGATTCCCGATCCTCTTTTGGTAGATCCTTAACTACCGGAGTCTTGCTAAAGGTTGGGATAATATATGCCTTTCTATGTAACTTTATGTGGAACTGGTTTTTATTTAACTTAGGGATGCCTTGAATCTTTCAAATGTTTGACATACCAAAAAATAGTATTGGTTCTATTTCACTATTATCAATATGAACAAAATTTCCAATAACTATGACTGTCTTATCTTCTTTATCCTTTAAGGTAACTGTCACGTCTATAAACCATCCTAATGAATCAGTGATATGCTTAGAATTGCCCTTTATAGTAAAATTAGATGGTTTATCAGCTTTCCATCCAAGCGCCTTGATTGCTGGGTCATTTAAACCACCTAACTCACTACCAGTATCTAAAAAAGATTCAGAAATAGTTAAATCATTTATATTAGCATTCAGATATTGTAAAGATGACAACCACTCATCTGATTCTTTCGATTCTCTTCTCCTGAGCCTTTCGAGATAAGCACATTTTTCATATCAGTGATGAGAGCTTAAACAATAACTGATTATATGTTTCAGGTTGACTAGTTACTAGATCAGAAGAAGGGATAGCAGAGTTACCATATAAGCTTTTATTTACTAGTATCTGTTTTTTTTAGTGCATAATACCAATCATTATCTGCTTTGTCATAACCATCACCATCATTTTCCTCACTATCTGAATTGGAAGGAACTATTAGTATAAGAGGCATAAAATAAGATCAAGTGAAATTAGATTGGCTATCAGTCTATTTGGATAACTTCCTTTGCTATGACCAGTTTTCCCACAAATTTCACATTTTTATATGTATGCTTTTTTCTGAAATAGATCAGTTAACTGATTTACATTATTTTGAGTTTTCTCAAGTTTTTCTTCAATCTTATCAAATCTAGCAAAATTATTATTTCACTGTAAATGAGGTCTTTGAAAAGGCTTTATATGATAATCTGAGTCTAAATCTTCCTTATTAAGTAGACCTACTTCTTTTAAGTATTCAGCTACATAATAATTCTTGAGACCTTCCTCTGTTTTCAATGTAGATAGTAGACCTTTTGGCTGTCTAATTAGTTTAACAGTTTGTGGAGTAGTTATTTGCTGAGCCATTTGCGATTGAAAATCAGATTTTTACTTTTCTAATAAAGACTGATATTCAGTTTTTTGCTGTGTTATTGCGTTTTGAATTGCTTTTTGCATATCTTCTAAAAAAATTCCTTGCTATTGTGAGGCTGAAATAGGTAAAGATTTATATATTTGCTGAGATGCTCAATTAGATATTAGCGAATCTAATATTTTATCTCTTTATGTCTAGCTATTCGATGTAATTCTATCTCATAAAGTTTTTTAGCTAATTCGTCTAATGGCAAATGTTCGCTATCCTCAACTTTTTCAAGCCATGGAAGTGAAAGGGCATCTAAAAACTTTCTACATAATTCTTTAGGTCTATAGTTAGCTCGTCTACCTATTTGTAATATTTTCTATATAATTTATCTATTGTCATGTCTTCCTTTCTGATTGTTTCATATATCAAATCCTGAAGTTCTTCTTCTACAGTAGGGAAATGAGTTTTCAGCTACCCTATAGCTTGATCAAATTGAATACCAGCTACAACTACTATAGTACTATTATTAGCATTATATGTATTTACAGCAAGATTAGTAGGACAACCACCTGCTATATGCCAGTCTTCATTCCAAGGGCCTTCTACAACTCTCAATTTGAATATTGCAGTTCCTGGTTGATCAAAAGCTTCATTTATTACTTGATTTCCTATCTGAATAGCTGTTCGCCTGTTTACTGCTACTAAGTTACCCTGCCCTGTATTATCAAGTAAGTTTGCTAATTCTCAATTCTGTTTTGTAGTAATTTCTTCGTCAAACTATTCTAAGGCTCTTTCTCTCATACATCCTCTCAAATATCCTATAGCTACTTCTCTTCCTGTGGTAGACCTCCTGCATTATCTGCTAGATCTATACCTTGATTTTGCAAATATAATCTAAGTTTTGCTAAAAAATCTGGAATACTATCAATTCAGTCAAAAAATGGTTGTGAGATTTCTACCATATTTATTTAATTTAGTGGATTATTTTGTAACGCTAAATTTTGTCCCTGCAAATTTAAAATATTCTGGCAAGAATTTTTTTTCTTTAGCCTTCCATTTCTCATATCGCTCATAAAGCCTGTCTCAATTATATTCTAACAGACTTATATATCCTCTACTTCACTGTAGGTGGTAGGCATTTCGCTAATATAATAATTGTAAAGCAAATTTTTCTTATACTAGTTCACCTATACGCAGTGATGTGCATTTTATGCTTCCAATGGTAAAAAATTTGATTGAAAGCTTCCAATCCAAATAATTTTATTAATAA